AAAGCCATGGGTTTGCAATTTCCAAGGCTTCAGCATCTCACCAGAAAGGGGGTCCCCAGATGGGCCGGGGTACGTATTTTGATGCCAAATGAGGATTTTGCTGCACTGATCCCCAACTCGACAAAGGGTCTGTGCTTGTGCCTGCCAGGGAGGAAGGCAGCAGGCAACGGTAACGCTGATGGGTTTCCTAGGAAGGTTAGCAGCCCGCTACCGGCTCGTTTTTCTTTGTTAAGGTAAATCAATAAGTGAAAATGCAGCAAGGGTATAGCTTAGACGATGTGCAAGAGAAGGGAATACCCAGGAGAGCTGGAAACCCAGGAGCTTGGAGGTGAGTTCAGAGTGGGCTGAGGCTACTGCACAGAAAGGGGAAGGACACAGAAGATAACCCGCAAGCAGGAGTGAGCAGCTCTGCCAGGCCATTTCTACACCCACATTCATTTTCTGACTTCAATGGTTTTCATCTCATTCCTCACCCCATCCTCCAAATTCCTTTCAACACCTTGGGGAAACTGAGGCAGCCCAGCAAAGTAAGTACACAGAGGGTATTGGTTAGGAGTGATGTTTTCTACACCGTCATCTTCTCCCACGTCAGCCCCTACAGACCAGCAATCCTGGCTCTTCTTCAGGAATCTCCAACCTTTCCAGCCAGCCATGTGTTGTTAACTGCCTCCAGAGGGATCTAAAGCTGAAGACACGCCAGGCGAGTTATGGCTATGGGCTGGATGGTCTCTCCTGGGGTTTTCTACGGCATCCCAGCGCCGCTGTAGCCAAGCATCCAAGAAAAGAGACAAATCACCCTTTTCTTCTAATCTCTCTCCTCTCCAAGTGGCAGAAAGCGTTTTTGAAAGTCAACCCTCCTGCACTGCTCCATGCCAGTAGGGAAGGAGACGTCAGAGCCACTGACCATCAGGAACCAGAGTGCTGACCTCAGAGCACTCAGAAGCACCATGTCTCTCCTCTCATGCTTGCTTGGCTCCTCCACTCCTTGCTGCTGTGCTGCGGATCCTGAGAAAGCTGTTGGGAAACTGGCTCCTTCAAGAGCGAGTAGTCCATGGTGTGATGTCAGCTGTCTCCTTGCCTTTTGTGCAGAGGATGAGGATGGAGGGATTTCCCGCTTACCTGTGCCAGTTCAGCAAATCTGGGCCATCTGACAACAGGACAGCTTTTCTTTCCTACCTTTCACGGACCATCCTCTAGATCCTCTGGAGGAGGGACCTTGTCCTACACTGCAACCTCTGCAGATCTGTGATTTCCACACATGAAGTGACAGACAGCGCGAAAGGAGTGTTGGTGCACCCACGTATGGAGTCAGCCTCCTAGTAAACATCCTATAGCATGAAGTGCTCAGGGAACATCACCGTTCCCGCCATCTCCGGCAGAAAGCAGGCGGGAGACAGCGGATTGAGCTAGAGAGGAAAGTGCCTCCTGTGAAACAAAGGGTTGTCACTGCTTTTCCTTACAAAACTGAGGAGAAAGGAATTGATGTGTACAAGAGCTTTCCTGTATGAGGCAGAACCTGGTATTGGCATCCCTTTGGACAAGGCTTTCTCCTCATAGGCAGAGCAGAGCTGGAGACTAGGTTGGAGGGCTTTGCACCTATGCTATCACAGAATCATGGAATGGTTTGGGTAGGAAGGGACCTTCAAAGGCCATCTAGTCCAACCCCCTGCCATGAGTAGGGACATCAACCCCATCAGGTTGCTCAGAGCCCCATCCAGCCCGACCTTGAATGTTTCCAGGGATGGGGCATCTCCCACGTCTCTGGGAAACCCGTGCCAGTGCCTCACCACCCTCATCATAAACAATTTCTCCCTTTTATCTAGTCTGAATCAATCCTCAGTTTAAAACCATCATCCCTTGTGCTATCGCTACAGGCCGTACCAAAAAGTTTGTCCCATTTTTCTTATAAACCCCCTGTAAGTACCAAAAGGCTACAACAATGTCTCCCTGGAGCCTTGTCTTCTCCAAGCTGAACAATCCCAACTCTCCCAGCCTGTCCCCATAGGAGAGGTGCTTCAGCCCTGGGAGCATCCTCCTTGGGACTCACTCCAATAGGTCCATGTCTTTCCTGTGTTGAGGACCCCAAAGCTGGACGCAGTACTCCGGGGGGTCTCACCAGAGCAGAGTAGAGGGGCAGAACCACCTCCCTTGACTTGCTGGCCTTGGTGACAACCACTCTTGGGTCATCTGCTACTTGTCCCAACATCTACACGGTTGGCAAAACACCGTCCAAGTAAAGCAGGCAGCTGGATTCCCATCATATGAACCCAACGGGTGTTTGCACCATCACCCCAGGGAGCGGGGAGCTTCTGGGCACTGCCCTGCAGGCCTTGTGCCTGAAAAAGGGGAGAGCAGCACCCAGCTACCCGCCTCCGGGGCAGCCGGAGCAGGTCGGGAGACGTGGGGTCTCCCAGGCGGTGCTGAGCTAGCCCGGCCCCAGCTCATTGTGTTTGGAGAAGGCGTCGAGGGCAGCTGACCTTACGTAACTGGAGAACAAAGCAGCTAAATAAAAACTGGAGCTGGGAACGGGCTACGGAAGTGGGACACAGCTTTCCTGACTAATCAACCAGCATCTGAAGGAAACCGACCTCAATGGCAGGGAAACAACTGCATAAACACATCCCAAGGGAAGAAAGGGAGCAAGAGGAAGCGGGGGGAAGCCCACGGGGGCACTGGCCCCTTCCACCTCCTCTCCTGCCCTCACCACTCGGGTGGCAAAGCCTGGAGCGCCGGGATGGAGAGCGCAGCATGGAAACCTGTTGTGAGCTCAAGGGTTTTCAGGGTGCCCATGCTCATTTATCTGCAAAGCCACCAACCGCACGCTCCAGCGGGCCTCAGAGCTAGGAGAGGAGCAGTCCTGAGATGGCTCAGCAACTCTCCTCCCACTGCCACCTCCGATGGCATCTCAGTCTAAAGTGGGATGCAGGGAATGGAGCAATTTAACCCAGGGAGAAGCGCTGGTACGCTGCAGCCCCCCTTCCAATGGTGCAATAGCATCCTACCGCTGGGAAAGCGCCGTCGGAGCCAAGGTGTGATAGCCGGGAAGGTGCGCTTGGCGAATGCTCCCATGTATCCCAGTACAAACCAGTGACCCCAGAAAGGGGTACACCCTCTCTTTGGTGCCAGCATCCTGGGATTATTGCCTGGGAAGGGCTGTACACAAATGCATCCGCCTGCAGGGCAGAGTTTGGGTTCACCTGCTCTCACCGGACACCGCTACCCGGGACCAGTCACAGATGTAGGGATTTCCACAAGCCACCCTCCCGCTCTGGAAAAATCTCCCCCTACAAACACCTCTCTGACAAAAAAAGAGTGTTTTCCAAGAGCCTCTGCTTTTCTAGGCACAATCCAGGAAAGTCCTGGCCCAGCTGTGACCCTATTCCCCCGGGAGCCAAAACCCAGCAGCCGATCCGCTCTCAGCCCTGGGTGGTCAGAGCCAGACGGGACCGGGGCCATGTTAAACGTCCAAGGCCAACAAACCGGCTCCTTTTCCCCTCCCCAAAACCATCCGCCTTCGGGTAAAAGCCAACGACCCTGCAAAGCTCAGTCCAAAATATATCTCCCAAGAAACCATTTTTGGGTGCATTACAAGGAAGAGGAAGGTAGGTGATGAAGCCAGAGCCCGTTAGGACCTGTGTGGGGGCAAGTTGCCCCACACTGGGGCAACGGGAGCTCCAGCTACAGCAGATCTGCTTGATGTGGGGAGAGCCAGACTCTTTTCAAACATTACGCTTGAATAAGCGAAGCCAAGCTGCTCTTCCAGATAGCTAACAGGGGCCACGGCAGCCGTTCGGATCCACGCCATCCAGCCTGCTATTTTTAGATCATCCACAAGGAAGGAAACCTCAGACAACCATCAGAGTGAGCTCACCCGCAGGTCCTCAGCTGCTTGGCCAGCGCTGCAGGAGCTGCTCCACCCTGGAAGTCTCACTCCTGACACCGGGAGGAGGGATGGCACTTGCAGAGGGCTTGGGGAGGTCGCCAGCACTGCAGCCCCCCCACCCCTCCACTGCAGAGCCTGGCTATGGCTCCCAGCGTGAAACAGGTAGATCTGCAAAAAAAAAACCACAACCCACCCAAACAACCCAAACTCTGAGCTGGGTGCTGGTGTGGGTGCCCAGGGAGGGGCGAGTGATCCAAGATCTTCAGAGGAAACACAGCCCGGGAGCGGAAGGCAGAGCCTCCCTTCTCTGGCGGTGATTTCGCAAGGCCCCGTGGCCGCATCCTGCGCGGGCAGAGGCAGCTTTGGCTCTGCGCTCGGCTTGCAATCCAGAGCTGCCGTGAAACGTGCTTTTGGCCGGGATGACCCGGCCTGGGGAGTACAACAGGGAGGCCCTTAAATAGCAGCAGAGAAGGGGCAGCCAAGCAATTGCAAAGGATGAGCCACAGACAAGGGAAGGTGGAAAAAACTTCCTGATGTGCCAGGATAATTAATCAAAGGCTTTTTTTTTTTTTTT